GCAAATAATCAGTATAAGCAGTCGAGCAAACTTCTTGCAAACTGAAAACATCAATGTCGAATTTACCCCAACACTGACTAAGGTTCAAGCCATCATCATAGACATGAGTTAGGAGTGTACTCCCCCTGGTTACAACTTATGTTCTCCCTGATAATCACATGAGCATCACTCACTATTAATCATCTTGTAAAAACTTATTTAGCTAAATTCATCTTGCAGCACCACATCACTTCGTAATATGACACAGGCCTAACTGATTTTAATAACTCATAACCACTATATCTCAATTAAATCGTATTTCGCCTTATGATAAACTGCATACTTGCAACTAACTTGTATGCCCAATCAGCCAGCAAGTATAAATATAAATAAATAGTCTGCCGCAGATCAGAACATTGAGTCCAGAGCATGTCTCTTACGAACACACTCATGTTTAACGATTTGTTCCTAGCTATCTGTCCAAAATTCATATAATTATCACTCATGTATTTAAATTTTATTTTGATAACCATTCATATGTATTAGTAGTATTACTAAATTCTATCACGGTCAAGTAAAAATGAGGTTGAGGAAATCTCTTCGTAACTAAATAAACCGTATCAAACTAACTGGAACACTAGTTGGAATTCTTCTCTACGGTATACTTTTGTTCCTTCAGTTAGCCTACTAATACGGATGCAATTGGAAATCAATTCATATGGACAACTTACCGGCATAATCGTTATCTGATTTCATAATTTAAACCAAAACTAATACCAATATTAACATTTCTACAATATTCATTATTTTAATATTTCTAAACACAAAATAATTACTGCTTATAAGTTAAGTTATTAACACGCATCGTTTTATTATTATTATTGTAATCCCATTTTTTATAGTTCAAATAATCTTCAACCAAATTTTCATTTTAAGCGTGTTAATCATGAAAGCAGATATTTTAAGATTATTACATGTATTTCCCGACCAGATGCTGCCGCCTTCTTTTTGATTTATCTTTCAGCTTATCAATACCCGGAGGATCTTTATTATCCTTCGTAACCTCCGGCGCTCGACGATCCCATCCAATTTGGTATCGAACCAACATCACGTTGATTCCGGTGGGAGAGTAGTGTAGTGGCATTGGACAATAGCCACACAATCCACAAAGCTGTGAACACGAGACTACTCAGAAAATAGATATTCAATATTTAACTCGGGGAAATACCGAACGATGGAGAAGGCGCGGAGAATGAATTGAATGGACTAGAGTTGATCGAGTGGCATGGCTCGGCCATGCAGGCGTGGTCTCTGCCGAATGTTACCTTATATCTTCTGTTCATATTAAATATATTGTTCTTTCTCTAGCCTAACCTTGTTCTACATCATGTATTGGTAATTGATACGATACAGTGAGTTGGTGTAGTCGATGGTGTGACTTCCACGTAAGATCTTATGGATTAGGCAGTTATATCATGACAAATCTACAAATTTAGGATTAGGTCTATTATTAAAGCAGTACTTATATCATAGTAGACCATAGTTCTACAGACACATCTAGGATATTTGACAACCGACTCAAAACATTGCACTCTGGAAGAAGAGTGTGATTTACAGAGCACTTAAACGATTACTACACGTAAGACACCACATAACATTTTGGTTAGTCTTGAATGTTTTTTTATATCACTGTGTCACAAAAAATCTATTTTCAATATGTTCACATGCATGTTTACTTTTTTCTTCAAAAAAAACGAAAAAAATAGTTCGTTGCTAATATACTTGTATACATGTGTGTACTTTTATTTTGAAAAAAATAAGAGCATAAAATCACTGCAAAAATCGTTTTTACGCTAATGCATGCTTGAGAAACGCATGTATGTAAGTTTATTTTCGATTTCTCACCCGTTTTGTGTTTTTGCGCATGTACGAGTGTAAATCGGCATGCACTTATGTATCTTTTTTCCTATCCAGAACGGCTGGAAAAGATGAAAAACCGACGAAGTTTACGGTGGATAAAAAATTTGATTATACTTGTATTTCCCTACTATGTTGCACCACACGATCCCTTATAGTAAGCAAAGAGGACTAGACGTTACTGAACATAGTAAGCTGTCAAAAGTGTTTACCAACTTTTTGTGTTTATACTTCTCGCTGGCCGCGTCTTAGGTTTACTACTACCCCACTACGAGAGGAGTGAGCTGTAGCGATAAATAAGTCCCCAAAATCAATCACTCTATAAGTCTTCGACATTTGGTGCCGACCGTGTTAGTTTTACCGGACTCATTTAGCTGAAGGGACTCGGTCATGTATCCTCACCAGATCATGAATGAGTACTCCGTGCAACACATCTACAAATACTATCAAGCTTATACTGATCACTCCCCGATATATAGAAAACCTATTAAATATATCTTTGAGTCTCTTCGATTCTGACTTCGCTGATTTAGCATACATCGGTTATAAAAGGTGTTATTGGTCAAGGTGTTGTCAAACTACGAATACTTAAGAAATATTCAACAGCGTTTAATGGCAATGGGATAGGTTTAGTGTGAATCAAGGCATGGTTCGAATACACAGGAGCAAACATTAGAATGAGGAACATTATATTCGACAAGTAGAAGTAGGCGGAAAGACAATCTATGACAGTGGAACAGCTGGGAAATATAGTAAACCTAACGGCCAGACAATAAAGAAGGCAGGCCAGTTACTGAGATCCAAAAACAGCGAACGGCTAGGTAGAACACTTTAAGGGACTGTTGAATAGAATAAACCTATTGGACCCTGCGGACATCAAAGCAGCATAACCAGAACTTCCTATAGGTGGTACTTCACCAACGACCTGAGACATCAGGATGGCCATCAGACAAATCAAGAGCTGGAAAGCAGCAGGACCTGACCATATACCAGCTAAACTACCGAAAACACCTTTTAGTATGTTTCTCCGTTACCATTTATAAACAGCAGGTGATCTTGTACGGGTGGATGTCAGTACACATCATTCGTTCATCAAAGGAGGCTAACAAAAATAATATGTTTTTCAAGCATTAAAGAATCATAACTCGCGCTTCCCAGTGACAGAACCTCAAATGTTTAGTCCTTGGACTGATTATCGCTTAAAAATAAGATACACTGAGCCTTACACTCTTGGTTTCATGATAGGTTACTCATGTATTGGAAATCAGTCGGCTTCAGCAGATCAATGGAATTTATCATCGATAGTGGTGTTATATATCAAGTACTTTTAAATGCCTTTGGTAGAATCTATTATTTCTGTTGTATCAACAACGATATTCAGTCACCACTGACTAGCTAATGTAATAGAGGTGCAGCAGTGAATAGGTCATAAAAGTAAATAGTTCCATAAGTCTTGAACATTGATAATTACTTCAATAATTTTACTGAAAAACCCCTCGTTGAAGTCTCTTGGCCCAGCACCCTCATAATATCACGATTGGGTGCTCAGGACTACACATTCCTCACAAGAAGAAGCTCAGTTCATATATTCCTCGACGCATCGACTATCTTCAAGATAATTCATCAAAATCCTCTATTTCTGAATTTTTATTTGACTGTGTTGGAGTCTTTCGATTACGGACAAAAGCGTTATCAAGCTCTGGAAATCTATGACATCTTAAACGTTTTGGTGATCCCCATGTCTCTGGTATGGAACTGAAATGAAAGATGTATATGGCATTCAATCATTTTGGCAGGAGGATTGTAGAATTCAGTTTTGCTCAGTAAAATGACCTCATTTATATTGCGTGATTACTATTAGTTTTAAAGCATTGAATATATCTGTATTGGTAATTGCCTGCATAACTTACGTGTTATTGTTTTATATCACTTAAGTTCATTGATGAAGTGACTCATAGATAGGCACATGATCTGTTCTGTAGGCGTGATGTCTGTCATCTCTTTCATAAAATACTTACGATATGATCAATTCTGTTTAAACCCATTAACGGCTAAATTTCTTATGGCGCAGTAGTCTACCTATGTCAAATGAACTCTCGGTTGGTTGTTCAGCTTCGCAGTTTCTGGTCACTTCTGAGAATAGATCGGGATATGATATTTGCAATTCAACATCGGTCGGTTCCCCACGCAGAAATGTTGCTCGTTTCCAGCGTCCAACAGCCTGTATTTTCTATACATCATTAATTATACATTCTGTGTAGTGTTGTGTGAAAGACAACGTTCTGAATCTCCTGCAACTCATTCAAAGAGTCGACAGCAAGATGCTTCCATTGATAGTAATAAACAAAACGATAGGTTTGTAGCGTCGTTGAATCTCATCCAGCATAGATATGATTTTGAATCTTTGCAAAAAGAAATTGCCAAAAGGAGTGGCGTCCTACTCTTCGGAAACAAGGTAATGGATGTTTTTATTATTGTTGCTATAGGTTTTGCTCGCTAAAACAGATGATTTCGCGAATGAGGGCTGTCTAGGTTCTGGTACGTGTAGCTCTGTGTACAAGATGCGACATCGTACCAAGCCTAATATAGTAATGGCAGTTAAGCAAATGCGTGTGTCATCTACGTATGAAGAGGAAAATAAGCGTATTATGATGGATCTAAATATTGTTACAAAATGTTTCGATTGCTCTTATATCGTCGAGTGCTATGGGATATTCTTCTCCGGAGTGAGTTCATCTTACCACTTTTTACGCTTCAGGGTGATGTCTGGATATGCATGGAAGTCATGTCAACCTGCTTAGATAAGCTATATCATGATCTTCATCGTCCATTTCCAGAAAAAGTATTGGGGAAAGTGACGGTTGCTGTAAGTTCGTTTCAGTTTACTTTATCTTTTTTGAAGATTACCACTGCTTTGGACTATTTGAAACGGAAACATAACGTTATGCACAGAGGTAATGCTATAATTTTAATAAGTTCCAGACGTTAAACCATCTAATATGCTTTTGAGTTACCAAGGTGTCATTAAGTTATGTGACTTCGGAATAAGTGGAATTCTTAAAGATTCCATTGCCCGTTCGCGACAGCCGGGATGCACTGGTTATATGGCTCCAGAACGTCTTAACAACTCAACATATGATGTTCGTGCAGACATTTGGTCACTTGGGATATCATTGTTGGAATTGGCAACCGGATCTTTTCCATACACTGGGACTCATATTGAATTTGCTATCATGACTAAAATAATTTCAGATCCACCTCCATCGTTACCTCACCATATACCTTTTACCCCTGCATTCCGTCAATTCGTCGAGCTATGGTAAGTCTGTTGCCTTTCGTTTATTGCTGTGAAGTCTTGGTCATCTCTTAATCTTACATATTTTGCTAATTATCTTGCCTTTTTATCCTTTTTCATCTTATCTGTATCATTTTAAAAAGGTAAGTCATGTTAACTATGGTACAACAGGTAAGTCCCATGGTCTAGTATTTTGTGTTTACCGAAAGGCATTTTCGAATTCATTTACGGTCGATGCAAGTTTTAAAAGATTTTGTATTCAAAGTAATAATGTTCGAGTTAGACACTATGCACTCACCTAAATTCTAGACCACTTTTACACGGGAAGTACTTATGATTCTATCTTTATCTCCATCTGCATTTCCAGTTCTTTATTTGGATATGACATACGTCGATAAATCTGTTTTAAGAGTTGATTATAACTTTTGTCTTCAAAAATCTCAGTGTACGTTTAGATGCAAGAAAGTAAATTATAATTATTTTTGCGCCACAGTGTTAGACAGAAAATTCACAATTGATTGATCACTGGGTGATGATCATTTTCATGTTCGTCAAGTCCTTATTAGTGCAGATCGAGTGCTTTCAACCATGTTGCAATATGGCCACCAGTCTAGGTGACTCGACACTGCGTGCACTATGCTGAGATTAGATGGTGGTTGGAGGTAGTCGACAGAAGACCCTGGACCCGGGTTTCGTGCTACTTAGCACCCAGTGATCAACCAATTGTGATTACATCTCAGTCCTACGAGAGGTCAGTCGCGGCTCGGATAGCTCAGTAGTAACGTCTCTGACTGTGAAGCTGGGTGACACGGGATCGAATCCGTCAGGGAGCACCAGTTCCCTCAAGATTACAGGTACACCTTGCTGACGAGTGCCAAGCAGCACGAAATCCGGGTCCAGGGTTTCCTGTTGACTACCTCCAACCACCATCTAATCTCAACACAGAAACTTGAAAATTGAATAGCTGTGTTAGCTAGCTGTGTAAGTGGTTTTGTTGGAATAATTAATCAATTGAAACTTTTGGCTGATGAATAAATTCAAATAATTATTTTGTTTCTTACTACATGATGTATGGTAGAGTAGAGTGAACATACACGAAAAAGATGGGATGCACACGATAGTCACAATCAGTAGTATCACTGAATCGATCACATTGGTAGGGATACATTCACCCTTAATTCTTGAGCACCAATATTATTTCCTACACTTTATTCCTCTAATTCATCCTCTCTTCGAGCTATATTCCAAAATGTTCAGTCGCTGTCATTGATGCCATTATTCATCTTGTTAAGTTCATCTCTATTTGCAAATGTGGTGTAAGAAGTGGGGTTGGTGCACATTTGTGTCAGGCTTTGTTAATGTTGACTGTGTCTCTACTTAGTGTATACCTTATTATTCATTGCATCACTTAATTAAAGTAAACATATATAATCAGCGTGTGTATGCCCGCTCGCATGCTTTAGACGGCAAAAGTCTTATTTCTGCTCTAAAAGAATGAAAAAACCATTGTTGGCTGTGATGTATAGGTTTGTCGAATAAGCTTGGTATCTCATCCTTCAATTTCTATGTTTCTATCCTTGTAAAAATGGAAAAGTAAGCATTTGGTTGCCTCTTTGGTGAGTCTGTTTGATTTGTTTGGGATTTACTGTATTATCCTCCTTTTCATTTTTAGCTTAACAAAGGACCATACTCAGCGCCCAAAATATCGCTCATTAATGAGTACTGGATTTTTCGTTCGGCACAACAAGGAACCTCATGATGTACTAGAGTGGCTTAGGGGATTACCATTACCACACTTACAGTGTTTAGATGAAACGAAGACCAATAATTGGGATTGCAAAACTCCTACAAGCATCACATCCTCTATGGATTATTTGACTGGCACAATTGAATCTCCCGAATCAGTGACCACTCTTAGTCCAGATATTTCCGGGGGTGTGAGTAATATCTCTCTTAATGAGTCTTCCGATTCAAAAAAAGCATCATGGGAAAATATAAATAATCAAGCTGAGGTAGACGTTACACTAGTTGCAGCACCTAAAGTAAATTCCGATTCTAACGAGCAAACACAGTTCACTGTTCATAAGTCTTCTGTAACTTCTGACCATTTCGTTAATGAAAATATTTCCCCTCAGCTTTCATCCTTTACAATTAGTGAACAGTTTTCTGTTGGTCAAAATCCTCATTTTTTTAGGACCCGAAATACAATAGTTGATCAGAGTTCAGAAAATTTTATTAACCTACTAGAGGGAAAGTCCAATAAGTTCCTCTCCCAGGGCTCTTCAGGTTACGGATCTGCAGGTTCTGATAGTTCTCCTGGATCTCTTGGAAGTGATAGTCGTCCACCAAGTTCCACCCAAGTTCTTGACATGATATTACCCAATAGAAGTGTTAATGGGATCCCTCCTTTACCGGTATCTCAGCGTGCCAAACCTTCGTACACTATCAGAGTCAATAAACCCAATAAATGTTTGAACAATATCTCGGGAAATAATGTTAGTCGATCTAATTTGTCAATCCGTCCCACCGTATCAGATTCATTTTCTAATCATCCTAGTTGTCAAGTCTCCTCTGTGCATTCAATAAGTGGTTCTGATCAGTGGAGTACGTTATCCCTATCATCTAGAACAACTCATATACCTACATCTCAACCTGTTACGGAAAATTCTGTTCATAATCAACTAACATCACTCATTGAAAAATTTGAACCCAGCTCGGATAAAGGAGTTGGTTTATGTGCTAGCACGAAACATGAAAAGTGTACCCCTTTAGATAATGATTCCCAAGAAAAAGGTAAAAGTTTTGGTTCTTCAAAGATGGAATTGATCTGTGGTCGTCCCAATATAAACAAACGGAAAGTAGTTGGCCCATCACGTTCCTCTTCTGTTGGTGCTCAGTTGCAGCGCTCTCCCGCTAAAAGATGGTTAGTCAAACCACCACAAATTATAAGAAATCTTCAAGTCGATCAAAATCCTTCAATATGTGCACACAATAATACCACTCGTATACGTTCGCCAGTAATTCCAAATGCTACCTCATCCATATTGAACCCGAACTATGGGACCATTTTAGGGAAGAATACGTCTCCACAACAATATCATCATCATTATTTCTATTATTATTATGACAATCAACTCGATGCAAACAATCTAAATAAACCACCTAGTACATCATGGGTGGCCAAAGAGAATATAAGTGCTCTTGGTAGAAATTCGCCATCTTATTTTACTAATTCAAACTCCAATTCATTGGTTAGTAACTCTCTACCTACAAGCAACATATCACCTATTCTTTCAGGAAGAATGTGTCAACGGTTAAATACTCATCCAATTCCAAGACAAAGCAGTTTGCAATTTCCATCTGACGATTTTAGATCTTCCAAGGCGGAGTCAACTTCACTTCTTTTCTCTGGAATGTTAGGATCACGTCTACCTATGGCTTCACAATCCACTTATCAGATTATATCCAGCGAGTCCCATGGGCGATACTTTAACCGAAACATTTTCCAACATCCACTTGTATTCAGTAACTCAACGCTAAGAGACACTGGTACATTGATAAAGAAAGGTGAACATCCTAAACATACACACAGATCAGTGTCACAACCTCCTAAATTACGAGATTGGCTATCTTTTGAAACAGAATTGTGAAGATACACCTCATGGTACTAATGCATATCAACAGAAATATCGAGATCTACTTATGTTCCTAAACTTAGTTCCAGCTTACCTTTGTCTTTCGATGCTTGCATCAGCATTTTGTTGTTAGGGCGATTTTATTGATCATCTTCAAATGCTCACATTCATTTCTAGTCTTTCCATTCTCCATACAAAATGCATAACCTACAAAAGCTTTCAGTAACTACTCTTAAATATGTTTATTGGTAATCAATTGGGTTACTTCTGTACATACTAGTGTAAATTATGGTCTTCATTGTAATTTATGCCCTAACAGTTTTATTTGAAGTCAGTTACCTAGTTGTATTATTGTTTTATTAGTCAAGTCTTGAATTTTTGGATGATTTTTAAAAATAATCTTTCAATGAATTCATGTTAGGTTCCAGAAAATAAAATATTTTTAAGAATCCGTCTTTTGTGACTGCACATTATTAAATTTCGCATCTTGGATAAGTGTTTCACCATGTTAGCTGCAGTTTAATATGGAGGGGGAGAATTGTACTCTAGTTACACCCAAAGATAAGTGTAAGTCTTGGAGATGTTATAAGAATGTAATCTTCAAACAGGGTATTCAACACCTTGGCGACTTTCAATTCCACACCGATGACAGTTCCGAAAAAGAAGACCATGTGTAAAGGTTGGAACTAAGTAAATTCAAATGAACTAAAACATTATCATCAAAACTTTAACTTACCCAATGAGTTTTTTTGAGCATTGACTTCTGATTTGCTCAAAAGCAGTAACAATGCGGATAATCCGAATTTCACATCGTATTACTCGTTTAGTTTTGCTGCTGTATTTTATACAAAGCTTTTTACTGACATTGTCTTACGCAACTGATTTCTACTTCAGCGACTTACGTTACCTAGGTTTTATTTGTTTATTGAGTCTTCTTACCCTAGGCATTTTTGATATTAGAATGACTCCTAAAATTGTTTTGGCTTGATGTTTTCTCATTCAGAAATATAGTTTATAATGCGTCAAACGGATGTATGAAAAAAGTGATATTTTACTGGTAAAGTATGCAATCGAAAAAATTGATGATCGGCTTTTGGTGCATTAAAGGGATTCGCTTTCATTCCAACAGTAAATTACTTTCTCTACATCTCATATTTTGTGAATATATGGTCCCTACCGTTTATGAAATAACAAGTGTTATGTTGTTTAAATCTGCGTAGTACATTTACTAGTTCAGTTGGGTCTGTCCATTAGCAATATTTTCCAGTTTTTAGTTAAACAGGATTAAGTACAAGGGTTATAAGTGAGACTGTATTTAGCTACTGTGGTATATTGAGATTCATGTATTGGGTTAGTGAAGTCATTGTATGCCACAGGATCCTATGACAGACTTTTAACTAAGCTCTGAAGAATCGGAAGCGTAAAATTTCTAGGTGTCCTTACATGTAGTCTGTATGGGTAAATGCATACAATATCAGCTTTTAAAGAATAACTGTCTGTTATCTTGCCAAAAATCGCCTTAGTAAATCTCCAAATACTATACCGTTCAGAATATGGTTATAATTTTCTCTTATCGTGTATAGTGTAGCTTTTGCCTTCACTTGTTTAGTTTCTAATAAGGCAAAGAATATGTATCCAGTGGATGACCGCGTCATTGAACCGTGATTATTTATAGACATCTACTTGTAATCTAATATAGGCAGAGGTTGGCATATGACATGTACTTGTTACTAGCCATTATGTGAATACAGCTCCTATTACCTCTGTATTAAAGGTCCCACTCTTATCAGGAGCTATATATTACACTTACAATTATCGCCTACCTTGATTTAAAACTAAGAAAGTCCCTTGTAATTTAAGATATGAATAAAATAAACTCAGTTGACACCGATCAGGTGGTTTTAACGGATGAAAAGAAAAATGACGAGTACGAGTCATTTTTATGCATGGGATCGTAGTGTTTATGAAGTAAATAACAATACTGTATCTGAAGCTATACAGTCATATGATGGGAGGTAGTTAGAATCAGTCGATTTAGGGTTATGGGTGCTAGAAAATCCAGGTGAATAGAAAACACAAGTCTTGGAAACTAGGTGAATCATTTTAATCGAAATACTATTATTTAAATTGAATTCGTCCTAAGACATCGTATGTAAAAATCAGCTCCATAAATATGAGCTCCTAGTAATCTAGCTATAAAGAGGTGAATGCACAATCCTAACACTCAGTGACGGTGATGAGATATCAATTAAGTTGATTATTTGGTAGGTTCAACATAATTCCTAAAAGTATTGGAGCATTAGACTATCCATTACTGAAGTGTATAATCACTGCTTGCACACTTCATTTAAATCCTGAAGTCTTGGTGCATTAGTGATAGAAAATCTCAAGTTAATGGTCTGATTCATTGAATCGAACTTGTTGGTGAAAGATATTACAACTGAATAGCCCGAGAGCAATAGAAGAAAGCAATTTCCTGGTCGCACTTTTCCGAAATCAACCTTGAACCCGACCAATCTCCCGCGTTTTTTCTCGAATCGTTATCTATGCCTGGTCCTTTTTACCACTGATATTGTTATCTCTAGTACTACCTTTTCAATTTCATCTCAATGTGCTGATACAATGAAACAAATTAAACCTACGTATATATGTTCCAAATCATACATTTTGTATGACTGGCTTAGTAATCACATTGGCACATTACTCTGACCGAGTTTCCACGTGATCGAAACATCAATCCTTTCATGGTATTTTATGTGATGTCAAGTCATATGGATATGAAACATGCTCGCATAGCAAAAGTAATAGATGTATTTTAATCTGTACCACAAGTAACAACAGTCTGGTGCGTATTTGACTGCTGGTTGGTAAAATCTACATGCCTAAATATCAGTGCTCTCTCTGTTTGATGGCTACTAAAGCTGTAGCACAATTTTTAGTGGTGTGTAATATCATTAATGAATCGATAAGACCATCTTCAAAAAACTCCCGTCTGTGCGGCTGTTTTATACTATATCGTAACATCTCTTATATAAAGAAAACTTATGACTCAGTTGAATATGAAGAGTGGCAAGTTTATGAGATAAAAAACAACTATATCCAGTTAATAAATGTCACTGCAATCAGAATCCTGACAAACCTTGTGCCTTATAGCATCAAGGATTGCCCGCAGAGGATCTTTCTGAGTGTAATATAATGTCGATTCTTATCCCCAAACTTAGGTAAGAATTGACTTAACAGCCGTTATAGTTTTTTTCGTTTTTATCCTTTGCATATTTGTTGATATCAACTTTGTAGAATGTTGTAATTTTACCTGCAAATGATGTAAGTCAAAGGTAAGGAGACTCTTTAATTTAAGGAAGGTGTATATGAAATATTTCTAACCAAGATATTGAGATGCACCAAGGTTAACTGTCATTTGAGGAGAGAGCAAATTTGAAGCGTTTCACTGGTTAGTTGTGAACAAGAACCATTCAGTTTGTCGTAATATGCGATACCAACTTTAACCAACTTTATCCAGAACGGCTGGAAAAGATGAAAAACCGACGAAGTTTACGGTGGATAAAAAATTTGATTATACTTGTATTTCCCTACTATGTTGCACCACACGATCCCTTATAGTAAGCAAAGAGGACTAGACGTTACTGAACATAGTAAGCTGTCAAAAGTGTTTACCAACTTTTTGTGTTTATACTTCTCGCTGGCCGCGTCTTAGGTTTACTACTACCCCACTACGAGAGGAGTGAGCTGTAGCGATAAATAAGTCCCCAAAATCAATCACTCTATAAGTCTTCGACATTTGGTGCCGACCGTGTTAGTTTTACCGGACTCATTTAGCTGAAGGGACTCGGTCATGTATCCTCACCAGATCATGAATGAGTACTCCGTGCAACACATCTACAAATACTATCAAGCTTATACTGATCACTCCCCGATATATAGAAAACCTATTAAATATATCTTTGAGTCTCTTCGATTCTGACTTCGCTGATTTAGCATACATCGGTTATAAAAGGTGTTATTGGTCAAGGTGTTGTCAAACTACGAATACTTAAGAAATATTCAACAGCGTTTAATGGCAATGGGATAGGTTTAGTGTGAATCAAGGCATGGTTCGAATACACAGGAGCAAACATTAGAATGAGGAACATTATATTCGACAAGTAGAAGTAGGCGGAAAGACAATCTATGACAGTGGAACAGCTGGGAAATATAGTAAACCTAACGGCCAGACAATAAAGAAGGCAGGCCAGTTACTGAGATCCAAAAACAGCGAACGGCTAGGTAGAACACTTTAAGGGACTGTTGAATAGAATAAACCTATTGGACCCTGCGGACATCAAAGCAGCATAACCAGAACTTCCTATAGGTGGTACTTCACCAACGACCTGAGACATCAGGATGGCCATCAGACAAATCAAGAGCTGGAAAGCAGCAGGACCTGACCATATACCAGCTAAACTACCGAAAACACCTTTTAGTATGTTTCTCCGTTACCATTTATAAACAGCAGGTGATCTTGTACGGGTGGATGTCAGTACACATCATTCGTTCATCAAAGGAGGCTAACAAAAATAATATGTTTTTCAAGCATTAAAGAATCATAACTCGCGCTTCCCAGTGACAGAACCTCAAATGTTTAGTCCTTGGACTGATTATCGCTTAAAAATAAGATACACTGAGCCTTACACTCTTGGTTTCATGATAGGTTACTCATGTATTGGAAATCAGTCGGCTTCAGCAGATCAATGGAATTTATCATCGATAGTGGTGTTATATATCAAGTACTTTTAAATGCCTTTGGTAGAATCTATTATTTCTGTTGTATCAACAACGATATTCAGTCACCACTGACTAGCTAATGTAATAGAGGTGCAGCAGTGAATAGGTCATAAAAGTAAATAGTTCCATAAGTCTTGAACATTGATAATTACTTCAATAATTTTACTGAAAAACCCCTCGTTGAAGTCTCTTGGCCCAGCACCCTCATAATATCACGATTGGGTGCTCAGGACTACACATTCCTCACAAGAAGAAGCTCAGTTCATATATTCCTCGACGCATCGACTATCTTCAAGATAATTCATCAA